ATTTTTATTTTTTTGTTTAGTATATCTCTATTTGTATATATTAAATACTATTACTATTATTTAAACAAATAATTATATAAATTCTGTCTTTTAAATATTTATTATTATTTTATTTATAATTTAGATAGATTGATTAATATACAGACTAACTATTTAAGTAGAATTATATATATATAAATTATTAATATAAATAGAATTATCTTTATAGTAATTTTAAGTTTAAATTTTTTTATATTAATATATTTAATATATAAATAGCGCTGATATAGTAAATATAATCTTAGTTATTAAATAAAAAATAAATAAGCTTATAAATAGATTAATTAAGACTTTTATTAATAATAATATAAATAAATCAATTTTTTTTATTTTATTTAATATTTAAACTTGCTGTATTAGTGTCGGTAAGTTAATAAATAAGTCTAAAAATTAAATCTAATAATACCGGTATAAATAGAAGCTTAAAAACTACTTTAATTAATACTAATATAATTAGCTCGACTGAAGATATTAATAGAATAAGAATAAGAAAAATATTAGTTTAAGAAAATATATTAACTTTTATTTTCTTAAATATTATTAATAAAAAAGAAAATATTTATAAAAATACAGATATTAGTAAATATATAAAAAAAGAAAATATAATAATAAGTTTAAATCTATAAATTACTGTTTTAAAAGATTTTTTATTTATTTATTTAATAAAATAGTTATATTTATTTTTAATAGTCTAATCTTAGTTATCTTAAGTTTTTAAAATATTTATAAATTATAATAGTATTTAAAAAATAATTATTTATACAGTAATAAGAATTTTAATAAAAATATTTATAATATTTTTATATTTTATTTTTATAAAGTAAAGTATTTAGTAAATAGTCCGGATAATATTATTTAAATATATTAATATATATACTGTTCGGAAGTAGATAGAATTATATATAACTAATTATATAAAAATAAAATTAAAATTTAGTTGAACATATAATTTATAATAATTAAAATATATAAAAAATATAAATATTTATATTTTTAATAATATAAAATATAGTTAATAGCCCATAATAAAATATACAAGAAATATAATAAATAAAAAAATTATAAAATTGATAAAATAAATAAAAAATAAAATAAATAAAAGTATAAAAATTAGAAAAAAATATATTAATAATACTGTAAATATTCTATTAATAAAGTGCTTATTTAAATAAATAAACTAATATAGAATATTTTTTTAGCTATTTAATTAAGTAAATAATTTTTAAATAAACTAAGAATTATAATAGAATATACTATTAATATTAGCTTTAAGTCTTTTAAAAAAAATAATAAATAAATAATTAATTATTAATTTTTTTAAGATTTGCTAGCTTAACTGCTTATATAATATTACCAGCCCGAAGGCGGTGAGAGAGCGCTAGCCCGAAGACGAAAAGAAAGAATATTACTTCTTAAAAAGTCGAATACAACAAAAAGATTATTATTAATAAAAATATTTAAGCTAAAGATATATATATTATTTAAGATTTTTTCTTTTATTTTAATATTAATAAAGCTTTGAAGTTTGCTGCTATTTATATAAAAAAAATCTATAATTCTTATTATAAATTTTTTAAATCTAAGTCTAATAATTATATATATTTATATTTTTATAAAAACTATAATATTTTTATTATTTATAATATTAGTATTAAGTTTAAATTATTATAGTAGTATACCAGTCTTTTTATATTATTACTTTTATTGATTATTATATATATAAACTTAGTTTTTCTAATTTCTAGTATATATATTTTATTATTTTAATTATATATTTCAAATCTGTGTCTTCAGGTAAAGATTTATTTAATTATTTTAATATATTTTTTTAAATATTACTAACGAATACTTCTCTAAATAGTTAGATTATTAAATTACTATTATTTTTTTAAAAATTTATTTGTTATAGCTGTTACCATATTCTTATAATATAATATTTTATATATTAAAAAGAATATAGTTTTTAATTTAATAAATAGATTTATAAAGAGAATATTATTATAAATAAATTAATTTATAATTATAAATAGTATAGTAATATATTTTATTTTATTAAATATATTAATCTGTTTAGTATTTATAGTTAATAAAAATTTATTGTCTTTGATCTTTTTATTTTTTATTTTTTTATTTTTTTATTTTTTTATTTTTTTCTTTTTTTCTTTTTATTTTTTTGTTTTTTTATTTTTTTATTTTTTTATTGTTTTTTTGTATCTCTGTCTATTATATTATATTTTTTAGTATTATAGTTTTCGACTGTTTATTTTTTTATTTAGTTTTATTTATTAACTTGTTAATATTTATGTATATAATTTATAATATAGATATTATTTTTAAGATAGTAGGATTTATAGTATTTTTGTGTCTACCGAAGTTTTGCTATATATTTATTTTCTGTTTTTTATACTTTTATAGATATTCTTTGGTCTTTCCGACTTTTATCTGTTTGTTTCTTTTATAATTAATTATATTAATCATATTGTATCTACGTCTATCGTATCCTGCCGTAATAAATATATAATGAATATAGAAATAGTAAATTATAAAAAATACTAAAAACAGACTAGAAAATAAATTTAGTCAAAATAAAAAAAAATATATATATATATATAAAACAAATTAAAATAAATTAAAATAAAAAGTAAAAATTTTACTAAAATAAATGATTTATATAAGTGGAAGCAGATATAAATAACAGAATTTTTAATAAGTATAAAATATACAAGACGTAAAAATATAGTAATATTTAGTAACCGAATAAAAAAATAAAGATACTATTAAGTACAATAAATAAATATTTGAAAAAATAATATAACGGTTAATCTGCAGAAATAATACTTTAAACAGTTAAAATAAGAATATACTATTAATTATAACAGTATATAATAAATATAAATATAAGTATATATAAAGTATAGTTAATTAACAAAACAAGAACTCGAAAAGTCAAGAAGACCGAAAGATACCCGAAGACAGTATAAGAGGCGGGCCGCCGAACACAGCAGAATCGACAACCACGAAATACGCCACAGTTCATTATTTTTGGCCGGCAGTTTAGATAGGTGCTTAGATAGCTGGAATCCATCTCTCTTCACGCTCTCCTCAGTTTAACTACTTATTAAGCAGCAAATGCCTAACAACTTATAAAGATGATGTAGAACATAATCTATGTTTTATGCAAATAATAAAATAGCTTGGGAATCACATGATAATTCTGGGCGGTGAATGATTCAATTTGTACCATACAATTAGAATAACAAGGTCGGCATATCTGTAATCTGGTAAGTGCCAATCTAGGCTCTGTATCAGGAAGTGTGGGGCGCACCTTCCTCCCTTCCATGTCGCGCGGAGCTTGCTGCTTTCGTGTCAACATTAAGTCAACCGCCATACGAAGTGAGACAGAGATTCTTAAGTCATTTTGCCCAAGCTTTCTGTCCACACTTCATGGTTACCTGGCAATTTCAAACCTGTGTCTTCCTCAGATAAATCTGTTCTAACCAATCCTTCGTTTGACTGGATCGAACTCCATACCTATCTTTCACCATGAACATCTTCAGGTTGTCAGGTAAGTATCAACCGTGTCCTCCAGGAGCATACTCCAATTTTAATCCTGTTTGACCTAGCCGATTTCTCTCATCTCGCATCTATTTTCATTCTTCTGCAGAAGATGAAGTCATCGAGTGTAAGTCAGCAGCATGCATGGTCCCCCAACCGGGTAATTGATCGCGATAATAGAGCTGCTCGGGGCTATCATTTAAATCTCAGGTTCTATACCTAATGGTTTTTATCACGCGATATCTTGGTGAGTCGTGCTGCCAACATGCAAACAATCTGCTCTAATCTTGTGCTTTGACCGAAGACTTGTTTTGGGCCTTTACCGACTCCCTCTACAATACAACTTTCAAAATCTTGTTCATAGGCTCTTCAGCTTATATCATTTATCTTATGCTCACCGAGTACAAGCCCACGCATGATCCGAACCTCGATACCTTCAAGGTGCAATATCTTCTCTGCTTCAGTGCCCTTTTGGCTTTGTTGTTCCCCCACGACTACACTATCTCCGAGGTCAGTCTCCGAGCCCAGTATCTGAATCGTCCGCTCAGACGTTCGTGCAGATCCTTTGGACGTTTTCCATATGGTTGGAATCCGTCGCCATTCTTCCGCAGCTTTTCATGCTCCAGCGCACCGGAGAGGCAGATACCATAACGACACACTACCTTTTTGCGCTAGGCCTCTACCGCGCTCTTTACATCCCCAATTGGATCTACCGGTATTATGCTGAACGTCACTTTCACATCATTCCAGTCATTGCTGGCATTGTACAAACACTACTGTATTCTGATTTCTTCTATATTTACTATACCAAGTGAGTTGTCCCAGCTTCTCGAGCTGGCTCTTAAGTATTGACTACTGTGCTAGGGTGATGAAGGGTAAAAAGTTCTCACTCCCGGTCTAGGCTAGGTTCTAGCGTGGTATGCTTTGACCCACAAACAACATAGGGCTGCTCGATTTGCGGAGTTTTATTTGACTTTACTCTTACAAAGAACCACATCATCTATCAGCAGGGCAATGTTTGACGCTGTCTCTCCCTTTCATCTCGATTGCGCTTTTCCGCATCGTCTATCTCCCGATTCATCACGGAATATGTATTTGTCATTGCCTAATCTTGGTGGTCAATCTGTACTGTAGTTGGAAAATTCTAGACTTCTATTCTCAGAGGATGGCACTGTTATGAGAATCATTACAACAAGATCCTCTACTCAATCCACAAACGAGTATAATCCAACACACACTTCATGTCATAAACTCAATTCGAAGCAGGAAACTAGACAAACTGGTCAAAGATATTTGAAAACAGGCTAGAGCATTTTCGCTCGGCGTGCCAATCCTTGGCAGTGTTTTAATCGTTAGCTGTGCCGAGATGCCAGGTAAACTAGATCTCCTTGGAGATCCAGTGGATCTCAATAGCTTCTTTGACCAGATGATCCATGTGCTGGAGCATAGCTTGTGCCATAACCTATTTGAGGTGGTGAGACCGACAAGTCACTTTGGAATGGCTCTAGAACTCCCGGGACAGATCCCGAAAGGTGGCTCATCGCTCCACCTCCGTATGAGCGTATATTAGTGGAAGACAACGGCTGCCTCTCTTGTAGCTTTCTTTGGTTGTCTATCCAATGACCATGATTGCCATGACTAGTAGTGAATTGACTAAACAAATCAGCCTGGGATCTGTCCAACGACAATTGAGCGTTCAAGTTGGAGTCGCGCCTAGAAATTGGTGGCGATGGGAGTGCTGGCGAGCGCGACACTGTCTCTAGTCGTGGAGAGCTCCTTCTTGAACTAGGAGGCGTCAATCGGGAGCCGCCGCGACGCACTTGGCAAGTAGGACATATCTTGACAAAGCGTGAGATGAGTTCTTTCGGAACCCTTCGAGAATATGACGTAAATTCCTAAAAGTCAGACTGCGTACTAATGCATAAAGAGTATGGGTAGCAATGCACATGAGTGGAGAACGCAAGGACGACGTTACAGGCTCTACATTGCACGATACATATTACTCACCACGAATAGATCTGTCGGACTTGAGCTGAGGTCTTGTCCCTTCCTCCATGTTGACATTGTTGATGTGCTCTTGTTAGAATCTTGAAGAGCTTCTCTCGAATGGCCACTGGTTTCCCTTCGTGGCAAATCAACCTTGTATACTGTGCTGGCATGCCTGGGTAAGCAATTTGGGATACCTGTGAATTGAACATGAATACTGACATCTGATACTCCAGGACCAACAGCTTGAAGCTTGAACATCTTTTTTACCCAAAATCTAATGAAGGACAACATCAGCAGATGCTAAGATGGGCGATATGACATACGATGAGGGTCCAGCGCTGCAGTAACCTTCATCTATACGGGAGGGCAGAATCTGGTCATACCGAAATTGAGCTGATTCTATAGCTGTATCTTTAGGGTCTAACAGCACGGTCTTGATATTTCGCGCTCTCTTAGCATGGATCAATGCCTTATCTTGCTTCTTGACAGATAAGTCGTCGACGTAACTAGTAAGCGTCTTAATGAGTATAATTATGTATGGTATTAGACGTCTCGGGAAAATGGTGAAAACCACACCTTTTCATTAATTCGTCAAACTCCCTCACATTTGGAAAGCCTTCTAGTGGTGGTACAACTGGTTCTGAAAGCATAGTGTGCTCATTGCTGGACTCCTGGGCCTCGATGTCCGCATCACCGAGCGCTTCGCGCAGGGTAAAATAGCTGGGCGACTGAATATAGCGCGAGTGGGAGAGATACTGCGTAGGATGCTGCAGGGGCACATGGTCGGGCGTTGAAGGAATGGAATGCGCTGGGGAATGGTTGCTCGAGGAAAAATGATGCGTGCTTGTGGATAGGCTGGGATGACTGTATGGTGAAGTAAATTGTGGTGTAAAAGGATGAAAAGGTGATTGGCTGAAACTGAATGCCCCTGGCTCATTTACACTGAAGTCATTGTTGTCGTTATGGCTGTACGGAAGAGGTAGGGCCGTTTGGTGGGTGAAATTGTAACCATCGTGATTTTCATTGCGTCTTGTATAGCCGTTCATGCTGGTCTGAAGCTTGCCGCAAGCAAGTTGGAGCACCAAAGAAAGCTAGTCCGAGCCGAGACAGCAAGTTGGGTGACACCAACAAAGGGAAATTGTCTTGACGAGCGCGGGCCTACAATAAATGGGCAAAGGGGGGGG